AATCTTCCTTTTTCATCTCGATACGTAGTCTCATCGTAAAATTTTTCGCAGATTTCGTCATCTTCTGATATATTTATTTGTTTCTGGCAACTCTTCTAATTCCCAAAATTTCGTGAGTTGGCTATCTTCTTCGTGTCGGGAAATCATGCTGGCCACTTGAAGTGGAAGGTGGTTTGACGATACTCCTCCAGATACCATCCATCCTAGTTCCGTATTTTGCTTAAGAAGTCCTTCTCTTGTTTTTTGAATGCCATTTAGAATACTATGCGTATATTCTCTCGCTCCAACTATAGCATCAATTGGACCTGGTTTCATGTAGGTTGGATCTGCTAGGATTTCATTCGTGTACGAGTTGTCGACTTCTAATTGATATCGTGGAGTTGATTGTGTTAATTTTGGAAGTACTAACATTTTCACTTCAAGTGAAAAATTGCTCGGAAAGCGTGGCTTGATGAGGAGATCTACTGCCGAGGAGGAAACTTGTGGGCTACCATCTCCTATGCCTGAAATTTCTGCTCTGATTTTCTGACGTGGGAGATTAAGACGCTGAGCTGCGTCTTCTGTTATAAACGCAGATTGTGATCCTTGGTCAATGAGGACACGTAAATACTGGGTGGTGCTAGCTGTTGCTACTTCTACCAATTCTGTGGCAAGCAGGACATTCTCTTCGTGGTCTTTTACGTGATAGTTTGAGGTATTTTGTCTTTGATCATTTCTTCTGAAGTTGTTGCGTGTTTGGCTATTTTCATTTTGATTGGAGGCTCTTTGATCAGTTCTTCTTGATGTCTGATGTCCTGAGTTGCTGAAGCTTCGTTGATTGTTTTCATTATGTAGGATTGTATGATGATGCTTCCTGCAGACATTGCAAGTTACACTGCTGCGACATCTGAGATGTTTTTCGTGGTTCAGACAGTTCACGCAAAGGTTTATTTTCTGAACAAAACGATTTTTTTCTTCTACCGACAATCTTCTAAAAGCTTGGCAGTGATATATCGCATGATCTTTCTCGCAATAATGGCAAGCTGAGTTGTTTCTTCTGCTTGGGCTTGTTGCTTCCAGAGATTGAAATCTTCTTTCAAGAAATTCCATGAATTGTTGGTAGTCTTGAATTTTGTGTGGTTCCGTAATTGTTTGTTCATACATCTTGTTGGTTTCGGAATCCCATTTCCGACTGATTATTCTGATGATGATTGGCCCCCATGACTGTGTGCTTACTCCTATATTTTCTAGCCCACGAGTACATTCTTTGGTGATGTCATGCAAGAGCTTCAATTTTTCAACGTTTCCGGAGGAAAGGTTTGGGAGGTCTAATAACTTGTCTATCAGTTTCGAGGCTAATAGTCGTTTGTTTTCATATCTATTCTGAAGCAAGTCCCATGCTGTCTCGTAGTTGTTTTCAGTGGTTGTCAGATGCTGAATGAGTCTTGCAGCTTCTCCTCGAACATGCGTTTTGAGTAGTTGTATCTTCTCTGCCTTGGAAAAATGTATGTTGTCGTGGACTACTCGCAAAAAAACATCATGGAAAGAGCCCCAGTTCTCGTAGCCTCCGTGAAATGTTGGAATGGTTATTTGTGGTGACGCAAGATGTCTTACAGGCCAGATTGATTGGGTCTGTGGTAATTGCGGCTGACATGAAGCTTGTGCCTCGACTGTTTCCGCTGATAATTTTTCCAACGTGTCTTCATACTTCATCTGATACTCATGAAACTTATCATCTCTGAAGTAGGCACTGGTGAATGATTTTTCATGAAATATTATCTCTTCGTGCAATTCTTGAATAGCTTCCCATTGTTTTACCAGCTTTTTCTGTTGTAATTCATACCTTATTCTTGATTTTGATTCAGCTAGATCTTGGTTGATTTGGTCGATTGTTCTATCCAATTCCTCACACTTAAGATTTTGTTTTTTCAAAAGTAAGAGTTGTGGACTATTTTGTAATTCATCATTGATCATTTCAAGGTACTTCTTGCAAGTCTCATACATCTCTTTTATTTGTTGCAGGTATTTTTTAGTAAAGTAGGCGTGATTTGGTTCATTGAACTTGTTTAGTTCATGATCATTTTCTTGAACTGCATCCCATAGTTCTTCTAGTGCTCCAAGTTTTTGTTCTACATACTGTTCAGTTTTTCTTGATTGGCCATCTTTTTTACAGTTGGTGTAAAGCTGCATGATCTTTTTGCCTAGTTCTTCTTGCTGAGCAGCACGTACGTTCATTTCTTCCATCATTGTTCTGTTGATCTTGCAATGGGCTTAGCTGAACCTCTGGAACCGCTATTGGTGGAACTTCTGGGAATGTGGTTGACCGCTGTTGGGTCTGGTTGAACTTCTGGGACCGCTGTTGGTGGGACCTCTGGGACTCTGGTTGATGGACCTCTAGGACTCTGGTTGATGGCTGCTTGATTCGGTTGGACCTCTGGGCCCGCTGTTGGTGGGACCTCTGGGACTCTGGCTGATGGACCTGTGGATCGCTACTGGTGGGACCTCTAGGACTCTGGTTGATGGACCTCTGGATCGCTACTGGTGGGACCTCTAGGACTCTGGTTGATGGCTGCTTGGTTTGGTTGGACCTCTGGGCCCGCTGTTGGTGGGACCTCTGGGACTCTGGCTGATGGACCTGAGGATCGCTACTGGTGGGACCTCTAGGACTCTGGTTGATGGCTGCTTGTTTCGGTTGGACCTCTGGGCCCGCTGTTGGTGGGACCTCTGGGACTCTGGCTGATGGACCTGAGGATCGCTACTGGTGGGACCTCTAGGACTCTGGTTGATGGCTGCTTGGTTTGGTTGGACCTCTGGGCCCGCTGTTGGTGGGACCTCTGGGACTCTGGTTGATGGACCTGTGGATCGCTACTGGTGGGACCTCTAGGACTCTGGTTGATGGCTGCTTGTTTCGGTTGGACCTCTGGGCCCGCTGTTGGTGGGACCTCTGGGACTCTGGCTGATGGACCTGAGGATCGCTACTGGTGGGACCTCTAGGACTCTGGTTGATGGCTGCTTGGTTCGGTTGGACCTCTGGGCCCGCTGTTGGTGGGACCTCTGGGACTCTGGCTGATGGACCTGAGGATCGCTACTGGTGGGACCTCTAGGACTCTGGTTGATGGCTGCTTGGTTCGGTTGGACCTCTGGGCCCGCTGTTGGTGGGACCTCTGGGACTCTGGCTGATGGACCTGAGGATCGCTACTGGTGGGACCTCTAGGACTCTGGTTGATGGCTGCTTGGTTCGGTTGGACCTCTGGGCCCGCTGTTGGTGGGACCTCTGGGACTCTGGCTGATGGACCTGAGGATCGCTACTGGTGGGACCTCTAGGACTCTGGTTGCCTGCTGTTGCAGGCTGCTGATTCTTGACCGTTGTAACTTTTTGCTCGAAGGACCATGTACGCTCCAGGAGACTCTAGTTCTCTGGATAGTATTTTCTGCTTGATCCCGATGGTTAGGATAGAAGAGCAGAAGGGCCTTAGTACCAGACAGGACTTAAAGTCACGGCACTTGCACTAGGGCGTAAGATAGGTAACTTACAACCAGACTAGAGCACTTGTTGTAAGTTGGAAAAAAGGACCCAAGCCAGACAAAGCACTTGCTATAAGGTTTAAATTAAACCTGTAACCAGACAAAGCACTTGCTACAGGTTTAGAGAAGGGCCTAATGTAACCAGACAGAGCACCTGCTACAATAAGGCTAAAGAAAAGTAATTGTTAGAGCGCAGTCTCACGACTCTACTAGCGTTGCTAGGCCAATGGTGACTTGGGCACAATTTAAGTAAGAGAAACAACAATAAGTTTGAATCTCATTTTATTAATGAAATTGATCACCTTTTATATACAATAAATGCTGATTTTGCACACATCGATTGTCGTCATTTCCAATAATAAAAGTAGGTTGCTTATAATTAATTAATTCTAATATGTACAGTATGGTAAAAATATTAAGATTAAATGTTCCAATTTGGATAAATGGACACATGAAATTAGCCTGAGTTGTTGTGATGTGTAAGGATAGGATACCATGTAAAAAAAAAATTATCCACATTTACAATTATTTTGGTTATACCAATACCAAATTGCAAAAAAATACAAAATGTAGATTCTCTAGTCGAATGAACTGAGGAAATTGAAAGTAAGCTTTTTGTTAGTAGTACTAAGATTTCAGAGGGCATATCCAAAGGGCTTCAAGTACATTTAAAAAGCTGCATGCACATTTAAAGAGCTTTAAGCAAATTTAAAGAGCTTCAAGCACATTTGAAGAGCCTCAAGCTCATTTAAAGAGCTTCAAACACATTTAAAGAGCTTCAAACCCCTTTTTGAGGCACCCCAAGCACTTTTGATGTGCCTCGAGCACTTTATAAATTACTTTGGGGGCTTTGTGCTTGCCAAGCACAAAGCACTTTGAGGGCTTTGTGCTTGTGAAGCACTTTTGAAAATAAAAAGGAATTTGTGCTTGAAATTGAAAGCACTTTGAGAAAGGGATTAGGGCTTAGTGCTTCAAGCCCTTTCACTGAGGGCTTTGCCCAGCTCTGATATCAAGAATATAAATCATTTTTCTATGGTCATTTGCTTGTAGGTACGGAAAGTTGCATCAATTACAAATAAAGCCCCCCTGAATTGATTTGATTTGATTAGAGGTCTGTTTCCACAGAAATCACAAACCAGTCAGAGCGTTTTTGATTGGTCCAAATGGCCAACAACCATTTTCCTGACTATTTTCAACCAATGAAATTTGCTCTGACTAGTTCGTGATTTCTGTGGAAACAGACCTTATAGGTGTGTGCCTAGCGAGTTTACTTTCTAACTTGTATTTATTACAATTAAGTTCTCTTTTTCTATTTATACGAGATAGGTCTATAGCACGTCTTAATGCAGAAATGCAGAATTGAATGTATTTTTGCACATACTTGGAAATGGTTTTCGGAATGTACCTACCATACTTTTCAATATTGTCAAAATCAAACTGACGTCAAATTTAGGACGACATATGGACGACATCAAGAATGCATTGAGATAAAACACCATAACACCCAAATAAACAAAAATCAATTGTCAATAAATTTCAAGTGAAAATTATTCAAAGTTCATCTAGCCAAAATGGCCCTCAAATCATCAAAAATCACCAGTGAAGTATTACAAACAGTAAGTTAACCAAACCAACATTCGTTCATATTTCATTATTGATACCATACTTTTTTTTTTAGTGCAACAGACTCGTATCAAGCAACGTAGACGCCACACTGAAAACCATCAAGATTCCAGCAACAATCGAAGCCCAAAAGCACCGAGAGGAAGCATCTCTAGCGGCCACGTCACGGTTCCGTTACCGGATTGCCAACACCGAAAAACCAGTCCTGCCGGATATTAATATGAGAGATGGGCAAGATATTACCCAATTCTTCGCTCATCTACAACCAGGTGCAACCCCTGAATTCGGATTTTATGGCAAGCCACCAAAATGGGTAGAAAAACCGTAAGTATCTTGACAATCTCCTGTCAAAGTTTTTTTTTCCACAAGTATATTATTCAATTACCATTTTTATGATTTCGGTTAAACCATTTTAACAGAAAAGGTTTTACCATGAAACGCTGGGCGTTTTATCTCGTTAAACCGTTGTGATTTAAAACGTTTTAAAAATGCGTTTTAATCTCAGACTCATAATAAAACTAGAGACCAAACATTCCATTTATAAATCGCCCAATGTTTACAATCAATCATCTTTTAGTCCATGAAATAAGTAAGAGAGAGATAGATCTAGAAAACGGCAACACTGTCCAGTGGCGGCATGTTCATTTTCCTCTGGATATTTCCCAGAATTCAATAGAAGTTTTACTCACAGTAAATTACCATAAATATCCTCTAACCAGGCCAATGTCAAGAGTAAAATGATGTAAAATTTCTTATTGCCGAAATATTAAAATGTGCTTGGAATCCTTACAAATAATAGATCGACGTATGATTTTAACGTTCTCCACCACACTTTCCACAGTTTTAAATCCAAAAATACCACTGATTAACCCAAAAAATTACAAAATTAGCTCTATTTCTCTACAGCAACACTGCCAAATCCGTTATGGATGACATAAGTCACATAAGATCATCTGCAGCCGTACTCTGTAACAACATAGAAAAGAAATTTCCTTTCTATGAGAGAAAATCGACGAAAGGGTACTCCCTAACCCCACTCGGCTATAGTCGCAACTCCAAACAACCTGTTCGTGTCAAAGAAAATAGAAAGGCCTCTTTAGATCTTGCTATTTTCTGTTTCATTCTACACATCGATTATATCCATAAGCTTGTCTTTGTTTTCTCTGTTCTAAAATAATTTTTTTATTAGGTTATGTTGTTTTGGTGTTGACGGTTGACGCTAGGATAATCAATCAATTTTTTCTAATTAGGCATTCCAACGACCTGTCAAAAAGTGCGTTGTGGCGGAAGTTCATTATCCCGTATATGAGAGTATGTAATTTAAAGCTTTTTAAAGTGCATTTTGTGGTTGTTTTGTGAATGAACTCTGTTTATTTTTTTTATTTTATTGATTTCGTTAGTGTTTCTTCCAATTAAAAATGCCTCAAACGGGTCTTGAAGTTGATTGTGGAAGTAGTTTCAACAAGGTAACAAGGATGATGTCAGGCTTTTTTTCATTGCCCTTTGTTTTAAAATTTTCCAATTAAAACATGAAAATTTTTCACTACCACTATTCCTGCATCTGAAATAAAGCCATTTTCGAAATATTCGTAAGAATCTAAGCTTTTGTAGGCTTTCATTTGCTCATTAAGGTGAACTGTGGAACAAAATGTCATCTGGACATTTTTTTAAACTAACCGTTCGCCCAGATCCCGATTTTCCTGCATTCAAGTCTTTAAATATTCTCTCTGCATCTCAAAAAGTATATTATAACAAAGTAAACTGTAATTAGCTTGAAAATATTCCAAATAAACTCAAGATAAACAAACAAACGTCAAATTTTCCACGGTCGCCATATTGAAAGATCACGTGGTTTGGAGAGCCTAATTTGTGTTTTTTCGTGCGTGATTGATAAAAGTTATAGATATTCGAAATTTTAGGAGCAAAAATTATAAATAATAAAATGGGTAAGATGTAATTATACTTTTTATTTATTTCACCATCATTAACTATCGATATTCAAGATATTTTGAAAGAGCGAGAGTTCGAAACTACAATTGAACAATGGAGAGTTGTTGTTCAATATTTTGAACAATACCCCATATTACTGAAAAATAAATTTCGAAACGTTGATGAGGATAGTTGTGACATCAAACAAAAATGGCAAGAGTTAATAGACCATTTAAATTCAATGGGACTGGGGACAAGAACTATGGAGAAGTGGCAAATGGTACTACCTTTATTTATATAGAATAATCAGAATAATAAATAATAATAATTTAACTTTTCAGGCTATAGGAAGGTGGAAATCAAAAACAAAGGCGAAGGCCTGTGCCATTAAATTGGAACAACAAAAGACTGGTGGTGGTCCTTGCAAAGCTTCACCACTAAATAACTTAGAGGAACGACTGATGACAGTTCTTGGCTGGAAGTCCATTATGGGGGACAGGAATAAAGAACTGGGAGTCGTAAGTACCACTTCTGTTTATTTGTGTCATACATACACACCACAATTGCATTTAAAAAATTGGGATATGGATTTAAAGTTGTGCTTTGAAATGCAAATATACTCTTATAATTGCAGAAAAGTAATTTAAAACCAATGTCTACTTATCAATAAAAAGTGACAGCTTTATGAGGTCAAATATGTATCTCAATTTCACCCACCTATTTCGAACATGAACTAGAGCACACTCATGCAGTGAGCACATTGGATTAATTATATTTTATTTTATAGCCGTCAACATCCAAAATACAGACCACATGTACCAATAATTCAGTAATTGGTAGTTCGAGCCAAGCTTCATCATCAACACCAACCACAAATTTTGAAATTGGACACTCTCCACCACCTCTAATGCCACTGAAACGAAAAAAGGAGAAAGAAACAATTACACCCAGGATTCCACAAAAAAAAAATTAAAACCACCACAGAAAAAAACGAAATAATTTGTAAGCCTTGATAAAATGAATGACGAAAATCAAGTGATATTGCAGAACATTGAAAAAAATACAGGAATGATTAGCAATGCTCTCAATGAAATTAGTTTAAACATAAAAAGGTTAGTTGATTCGATGATGCCAAGAGAGGACCAGGATTAATTGAGACCAGGACAAATGAAACAACTTAAACGCTTATCAGACTGTACCTTGGCCGAGTTCGTTTTTGTTGTCATTTTCGTCAATTTGCTCCGAAATTTTGACAGGCACCTGATTTGTGAACTGGAACTATCTTATCCAGTCACGTGCCTGTCCAAATTTCGCAGCAAATCGACGAAAAAGATGACAAAAACGAGCTCGGCCCTTGTTATTGCAATTTATTTATTTAGTTACCCAAGGAATTTTGTGATTTATAATGTTAAGTTTTGGGTTAATAAATAGGATTTTTTAGCGACTAATCGATTGTAACCGTTTTATAAGCGGTGACAAATAATCTATGCATTAACTGTTACCGCTTATAAAACGGTAATAAAGTAATAAAACCAATAACATAATAAAACATTCTAATTAATTACTGCATAAAATACATGTTGATTAACTGTTCCCTACGTTGTTGCCCTAAACGTACCAAGTTTCTGGCAACGAAATCATGTTCTTGTGGATCTGCTTCATCTTCATTTTCTGCTTCATCTTCATCTACCTCAATAATTGGGAATATGTGCTCGTATACACATATTGTGCAATACAGCGACAGCATTTATAATTTGCCCTACTTTAAAAGGATTGTACTTCAACACACGTTCTTTATGGATACAACGGAACCTCATTTTGAAGACACCTGGAACACAATAAAACTTCAACACAACAGAATCATGTAATAATACACAAACCTATGCATCTCTCAACACAATTCCTTGCACTTGTCAATGCTGCTGTATACCTTCCTTCTGGAGAATCCGGAGGCATTCCTCTAATTGGTGTCATTAGCCATGGCTCCTGAGGATATCCACTATCCCCTAGCAGCCAACTGTGAGTTCCTCCATATGAAGGCGTTATGACTTGCACCCCCAAAATTGGCGTTAACATTAAAAATTACTAGATTCGAATCACTGATAATTATCGTAAATTTTTCGAGTGATACCCTTTTCTATTAAAATATAAATGCTCTTCTTTGGCTGGTTTTGATATGGCAACATGAGTTCCATCAACACAGCCAATTGTACCTGGAAAACCTAGATGAGCTATGAAATCAATTTTTTTTTGCTCCTTCTCTGCCTCTGTCAACGGAAATTTTATCCATTGGGGAGCAATGGCTTCAATAGCTGTGCAAACTTCGGCCAAGTATCTACTCACTGTCTGCTGGGCCATAGCCACATTTGCTTCATTTCCAACACCTTTTTGATAAGAGCCTTGGGCAAAAAACCTTAGTGAGCTCTGGTGTCTATGGACATTTATGTACCTACTTCAAACTCCATGATTCATATGAGGGGTTAGCTCCCTGATGAGATTGTTTGCTAAATCCTTACTCAGCCGAAAACATTTTATAAATTCTGCCTCGGGCAATTCAAAAACGTTGCAATGGTCCCGTAAATATTTCGTTTCCAATCGCAACGCCTCCCTTTGTTCTTCCTCCTCCAGCTCCTGCACAAAATGCAGAAAAACTGGATCCATAATACCCAATACCGTAAAGGAATAAATGAAACCTCGATAGAAACGCACAAATATTTTAAACACACCACGAAAAATTAAAGCAAAATGGAAACAATATTGAATATTGACAATTAAAAATTAAATATCAAAAACACAAGTTAAATGTTGAAAATCGTAAAATTCAAAAATCTCCCTAAATGTTTTCAGTTTCGTTAGTGCGCATTTCTCTATAAATGAACCTACCCGAAAAATTCAGGAAAAAGTCATAGAGAGTGGCATTTGTCAATAGAAAGAAATTTCTTTTCTTTGCTATGATTTTTCTATTTCTATTTCTATCGAGTTAGGGAGTTCGTCTGCTGGTCTACTTCTTGATCTGCTCTCATTTGTTTGGTAGTCCATTTATCATCAACGATCAGATCTGCCCTTCTCACAGCCGGACCATTGTTTTTCTCATGCATGTCGATTCTGTGACATGCATAGTGCTTCTTTTAATTTTCTGAAAGCACAGTCGCATTCTTGGGTCCAATGTTGATTTTTCTTCCATTATTCGATCAAGCGGAGCAGCTATATTGACAAAACCTTCGACAAATCTTCGATAATAAGAACATGATCCCAGAAAACTCCTTAGTTCATGTTTGTCGCGTGTCTGGCCAATCTCTGACAGCATCTATCTTCCCTTCCATAACTTGTATGCCACTTCAGATACCACGTGACCTAAGAATTCCACTTTCTTTTGAAATAGATAACACTTGTTT